CCACAATGCACATGGTAAGATAATAAACCAGTATGCTGTAGGCAACAGCACATCACAAGGTAATAAACACAAGGGCTAGAGAATTTGGTTTAAACGGGAAACATTTTAGTGTATTGACTAAATAGAGTCAAGATGGAGGCTGAGTAAACTTGTTTTTGCAGGTATGATATTCACAATTGTGAATGTCTTACTCTGTTACTACAAAGCAGAAAATACTCCAGCGTGTAAATGTTTTCCAATCTTTTCATTATACTGGGATGCTGCAACCTATATTTAACCTAAGGGGAGGGATGTTCTCAAAAAACAATTCACTCCTTGGCAATCATTTCTGCTACCAGTTACATAAAATGTTAGACCACTTTAGCTGCCAAGCAGGGATTACGAAAAAGAGGGCGAAGAGGCAACCAGGAAAAAGCTGTATCTCTTTGTAAAAATGTACTATGAGGCAACACAAGATCTGAGTCAAGAAACTACAGTAATCTCCCAGGCAACAACAAAAAGATGAACAGTGCAAGTGCAAATGCTCTTCCCCTTCTGGGATTCAGGTATGAATTTGTCCTGTCCTAGTGCATTTATAGTGTCATGCCCTTCATGGAGGCCTTGTTTTGTGGAAAAAGATGGTTCAGGTAACCAGGTATGTGATGTGCTGCCTCCCCTCCCCTCCCCTCCCCTCTCCTCTCCCTGGGCAGGTGGCCATTGAACTGTGGTAACTGTTCTGTATGCTCTGTGTTGCTGAGACCGAGTTGCAGTTTCAGCTCAGTTTCACAGGACTGCTGCCCACCCCCAAATCCTGCATTGCAACAGGCAGCAATTGCCTCAGTTGCAGAAAACACACAAAGTGAGACTCAGAATAGAGATCAAGCATGGAATCAGTCCTGAATACTAAACTGGGGAGGAGCAAGAAGCTGTTGAGAGAACGAAGTTAATACTACCCAAGCTATATCCATTATGTGAAAAAACAAGAACCCTTCAATCTCCAAGGCTATCTTGGAGGTTTTTTTCACTCATACCAGAAAACTGGAAAACAGAAAGTGTCTTTTTACTCTATGATGAAATGATAATAAGTAGAAATAACAGTCTTTAGTCAAACAACAGAGCACCTCTCCAACAGAAGTTCTGCTTTAGCTAAACACTCAGAGAGTGAACTGGGAATACAGCCCAGGGTTTGGGTTTATTTTTTTTTTTTGTACAGACCTCTGCATGTGCTGCTCTGATGAGGTTATCATATAAACAAAGAAGTAAGACAGCTAGTCAAGCAGTGCTTTCTCTCCCACTGATAGAACAGGAGGAAAAAGGTGAGTTTGATTCTCATTTAAATCAAAACCACTTTGTATGCCTGGGAGCAAAAATATTGAGCTCAAAGTCAACTTTGCATTAGGGAGCACTTCTCTGGGGTAGGTAACCTGTGAAAGCACCACAAATATGCTTCTACAGGTGAGCCATGCTTTTGTGCATGGGACAGGCTCACTAGGTGAGGAGACTGAAAGAGCTGTGGCCCCAGCTCTCATACAGCTTCCCACCTAGAGCACAAGCTTCCAGACACACCATGCAAAAGTGCTTGGCAACCCTCCTTACCTTCCCCTCCATGCCTGCTGCTGTGTATTCCTACAGAAAGTAAGATGTACTCCATCTTGTCTCCTTCTCTCAAGTAAAATAACCTCTTCCAAGAAAGGCATGTCTTTGCTATTATAAACACATCAACACATTGAAATTCTTATTAGCATAGCTACACTGGTCAGAAATCACCTGTACCATACTCATGTCAGCAGGGCTAGGACAGACCAACCCTTAGAAGGACAGAAAAGAATTTTGTGCCAAATTCTAATTTACACCCATAATTTTTTAGAGTTCTTGCCAGCATGAAAGAACATTGGAAGAAGCATATATCATACCTGTTTTGACCCTGCTTGCACTTCTTACTAGTGTGAATGAGAATTTGGAATTGTGAGTCCATATGTGCCTCTAAATTGCTTCCAATTTTTCTACATGCTTATTTTAGCAGTAGTTGTCACCCATGTGTATGCAAATTAAGCTTGCAGAGGAGCTCTGAGTAATAGGGAAAAAACAGCCTACCACTGTTTATTAGGCTACAGCTGATGCCACAGTAAAAATGCTGTTGGTAATTTTAGTTCCCTTCCTCAGGGACACTTCCTGCTCTTCCACATCATTATGAAAACTGCTGGTGACAACACACTCCATCCCAGTACTGGGAGCTCCTCAGAAAGACTCATAACAAAACAGACTCTTGAGTCTGGGTTATTTTTTTTTTTTTTCTGCTAATCTTCCAAGTCTGGATCTTCTTTATCTTCCAGATCAGAGGTGAAATGCATGGCATGGCAGAACAAATGAGGCTTTTCTATCCTTTGCCCATGGATCTCCTTCTTCTAAACTCACAGAACTTCATTCACAAGAACTGTCAGCTTAATTCCCTTCATAGCCATGATATTACCTGAAAGAGTTTTTAATGCACTTAGATTTTAGTATTGTATTTTCACACTTTTCATCTTAAGTTTCATTGTCTGATAAACATCTAAGACTTCGAAAGCCACGTTTTCTTTTGAGTGATTCTGTCTTCTTCCACTTGGCAAGTGTCACATTTTTCTGTGATTTTCTTATGGCACTTAAAGCAACAGGAACCTTTTTATTTACTTCTCTCACTGGGTATTCACATCATTCCTCATTTCTCTAGAAAAATTTACAACTCCAGGGTTACTGCGCCTGAAAAATCATCCAAAGAAGGCATCTGCTTCGTCTGACCTCCAAAGGTGGTGGCAAATTTTGGTTTTAATTTAAGTGAAAATTCTGAGTTATTCAGATACATAGATTCAAGTTTTCAGCCACTTTACATATTAGGCATATACTAAATTTGAATGAAATCATTTGCATATGTGCAACCTACATTTATGCATGCAAATCAGGCAATTAGGAATAAAATTACCTGATTTGCATACATAATGCTAGAACTGAGCAAGTAATATGCAACAAAAAATATATTCTATTAATATTATTTTCTTCTCTTCTGAAATTAGCTGCAACTGGATTAGAAAATACTCAAGATTTTCATCACTCAAAATGATTATTTGATGAACATTTCTAGGTCTACTGATATGCTGGCTAATTACACATCTGAAATGATACCGATTTTGTATCATGTTTGGTAACCTAGCATGAAATTTATAATAAAATGAGCAATAATACCTTTTTCATGTTTAGAATTCAACTTAAAATTCATTTGTATGAAGTGAAATCTTGAGTTCATGAACATTAAAGCATAGCAACACAAGTCCCCCAAAATTTGCGTTTGAATTCAAACTGAATTTTTTTTTTTGCTGCTTGTGCAATGCAGCTGCTTTTCCAAGCACACAAATATGGAGCTGCTGTAAAAGCATCCAAATATGTGGAAAAAGAAGCCAGTGCAAACCATTTGTGGAGTCTGGAGGGTATTTCCTACAGTACTGCAGTCGTAAGCAGACAAGTCACACCTCATAGATGAAACAAGAAGCTTTTCTCACCACAGCAACACTAGAGGGGCCTGCCTTACTGGAATGTAAGTGCATACCCTGGGAGGGCTCTGGTGATACCTTTGACCCTGACCTCTCCTCTCCCATGGCTCTTTCTGCCTCCTACTGCCTCCCTGCTCTGCACATGTACCAACACATTAATTTTGGTTTGCTTCCTTTTGCTGTGCTCTGTCTTGCTCAGAAGGCAAACTCCTCAGGCATAGACCTGTCCTATTTGTCTACGAAGTCTTATGCATACTAAGGGGCTTTAGCTGTAGAATAAATAAACAATAACTGCACTTCTGCTGTGGTGCAGAGACATTTTTGCATGTCTCTAACTGTTCTCATGGGCTTATCTCCAAACCCCTTTAAGCGGTTCATTATAATTTTTCAGATGGGGTTTCCAATACTCTTTCAGGTAAGGGCAGATCTTGGTTCCTGTCATGGCAGTACAAAGCTCCACACAGCTCCAGCATTTCATTCCTCATGTATCCTGGCATTCACTTTCTGATCAGATGCCCATTTTACAGACATGAGCTTCCAATAAGTTATCCAGTGGCAATCAGAACTTCCCCACAAATATCCTGATATATTTAATAAAACTAGGCAATACACTTTGGAAAATTATTTCCTCACAGCATGCACGACTACATATGACATAAATAAAACCTGCTACTGTCTGGATCATTCACCTATCTGCAGCATGCCAAGTCCCACTGGTTTGATTTTTTAACACTCAAATAGCACCTTCAAACATTTCAACATCCCCTCTTGGTTCTTCTCCTTTAGATTGAAATCATAAGCATTTCTAAGACATCCATGTCTTTGTCTTCTAAAAACTGTGTTGCACATCTTTGGCTGATACAAGAATATAACAATAATGACCACCAAGGTATTTAACAAGATCCATATTTAAGAACCATCATCTTGCGACAACCTTGCTTCTCATTATCTATTGCCTCTCATTTTGGGAACTTCTTTGTTTCTTATTCATTGACAAATTGATAATGAGGGACTCTCCACCTCACAACCTATTAGTCAACTGTAATTAATTTTATTGCCAGTGCATCTCCTGCTCTGCAAAGTTTTGCTGCTCATAACTATGCAATCATTTGGCTTTTATGTGTCTGTTGAACACAACAGTTTCAGAGCATCTCTCAAGCATTTAAACCTAGAAAACTCTGCATGTCTCCCTTTCCTTTTCATCCCTACCTGCTGAAGGATAGAGTTTGTATAATTTTCCTTTCTTGCCTTTGCCACTGGCACTTGTTCTTACTTCATCCTCTATTTCAGGTTAAGGATCTCCAGATCTCCTTGACACACATCCCAAAAGAGGTACATTTCCAATTCTTGATCTTTCTTGACAGCAACCCTCCCTTTCAACACTCAGCGATTTCATTTCTAGGAGGAAATATATACAGAGGCAATTCAGCACCACCTCTGTAAGCTCAGGAATTTGTAAGAGGCACAGGAAAGTCCTGCAGGCCAAGAATGTATCTGTAAGTGATAGCTCAATTGGTTAGAGTACAGTGCTAATAACCCTGAGGTTGTGGTTTTGATCCCTGTATGGACCATTCACTTAAGAGCTGGACTTGAAGATCCTTGTGAGTCCCTTCCAACTCAGAATATTTTGTGAACTCTGTGATACATATTTCAAGCTCTGAAGGTAAAAAACAACAGTAGTTCTTCTGTCCCAAGTAAGGTGTACTTCATTCTAATCTTGACATCTATCACACTTTCAAGTGAACAATGACTCATGGCCTTTCATCATTTGTATTTGTCACACAAATCTAATTTAACCTCACAAATTCCCAAAAAGAAAAAAAAAATGTTTTGTAGGAGTTGCTATGCTTATATCACAAATAACTTTGCTACAAACAAATAGCTAAATGTAACATGCCTCTCCTGAGGACCTGTGATCCTGGAGCAAACCAGCTATGTAAAATCATCAAACCCAGCAGAGAGGAGCCAGAGGAATTACAGATAGGACTTAGTAGTGGGAGCAAATTTAATGGATGAATTTGTGTGGTTTGCCTTGCTGCAGAAAGCAGATATGCTCAAAGGGAGACAAACTGCTGACTGAATGGACTTGGGACCCTGAGATAGAGAAATCCTTGGGGAAAGTATACCATAAGTTTGTGCACCATGAAGCACATTGATGGACAAATGGACAGTATCACTAAGAGAAAAACAGAGCAACTACATAAAAGATATTGGCAAAACCTACAGGTAGGTATATCTCAACGGACTCCTGTGCTGTGAAGGGGAAAGACAACAATGTCATTTATCTGCTGGTGAAAAACCAGTAGCAGACCAGGCACTCCTCCTGCAGAATCAACAAAAGCAACACAAACTGCAGCTTGCACTTCAGCAGGAGGGACTGCTGCAATGTACATAGGGCCTGGGGAGTACTGCTGGACTGGCAGAAGGTGGTTTAGGCCAGCTTAGCTCAGGGCTGATGGAGTTAAAACACACATGCACACCTGGATCTCTGGATGCCTAATGCTGCTGCTGTAGAGGGTTAAAACTGAGTAGCTTCAGGAAACCTCCCCTCAAAAAAGGAGGGCCATGCAGCATAGGGAGTGTTGAGTTATTTGGCTCCTGCTCTGGCCAGGCTGAGACTGGCTCCAGAAGCATACTCTCATGGCATCTGGGCTGCATTACATTCATGGGGAATGTGCTCATTTACACCCAGGGAACATCACTACCTGTGTGTTCAGTGATGAAAATAGCCTTGGAATGACTTCCACAGGGTGTCCTGCTAGAGCTTAAATGGATTGTTACCCTGAGAATTCCTCCATGAGCAACACGATGGAGGAAGTGGCATGGAGGGAATGAATTCATGTTAGACGACAGCATTTTGCTACTAGAGGTAAAGAAGAATTATTAGTCCTACACCAGCTTACTGAAGATCCTCCAGAGAGCAGGGATACTCCAACAATACACAACTGACATGCAAATTTGCACAAGGGGAGGGATTGTTCACTGGAGCATATACAGGTATGTGCCCATCATATGCAGATACGTGTGCCATTTAAGACATGGAGCTGCTCAACAGAGCAGTTAGAGAAACTCCTGTGTAGTAAGTGAGTGGTATAACGTTGAATTGAGACCAAATGGTCTTAAATCATGTGGGAACTCCACTGTGAACCAAATGAAAAACCAAAAGAAGTTCTGGTAACTACATTGTCAGGATTCCTTAGGGAACAGCAACCAAAAAGGTTTTAGAAGCTTAGTAAAAGAGCTATCCAGACCCAGACATCTTTAGGCATCAAAAAAGTTGGTGTATCAGTACACAGACTCTACAACCCTGAAACAGAACATCATTGAGAAGTCTGTGTGGTAATGGGATGGGTCCCCATCAAACTCTACAACTTAGTTTGGACAAGACCCTGAGAGTAAGGATGTGTGTGCTGCCAAGGACTGATGCCTTAAATGCATGCAGCAAGTAATATAAATATGGTGACTCTCAGAGTGCTGGGAAGGAATCAGGCAACTCTACAAAGCTCATCTGAGGAGGAAATGGTTTGGAGCAGGTGATAGCCTACAGTTCCCATAGACTCAGATGAAGACATGAGCATGAAGGTCCTGCTTCAAGCAGAGAAATAACCTTGCTCTAATCTGATCCCTTCCTTCTAATGTTTGAAGAATTTTACTGGCTTTAAGCATCTTCCATCTTTTCTGAACCAGAGGACATATCTGACAACTATGCATGGACTGGTCAAATGAGGAAGAATACAATTGTATTTACACATTCTATGCTGGAAGCATTATTTTCCTTAAAATATTAGAAAATAAATCTTTAATTTTCATAAGTCCTCCAATATATTTACAACAACAGAAAGGAAATCTGGGGGTTTTAAAAGTGACTTTAACCTGATGTTATTGTTTTCAACAAAGGTGCTATTAAGAACTTTTATTGTTATATAGTTTATGTTGTAAATGATTTCCACAGCAACCTGATCGTGTCATATACTCTGGGTTACAACTCAGAGGGAGAGGGGATGGGAAAAGCACAGAATGGAGACTACAGTGCAAAACTTGTCCTGATTATTACCTGAATCTTGAATGTTCTTTTTAGTGCAATTTGTTTAAACAGTGTTTATTTACAGGCAATGTTGAGGATCCAGCCAGGCTGCACCTGCCTTCCCAGGCATGCTCAAACACAGCCTATGATTGCACATCTTCAAGGGAGAGCAGGGTGGGGTTCCTTCAAATGACAGAACCTTCTGCAAGGAGGAAGCTTCAAGCTGTAACTTGCAAAATATGTACTGTAAAAATCCAACCATCAGAACATGGAAGATCTATGCAGAGACCTGCAACTAATCACGGAAAAACCTGAAAGGAGCTGCTCTTTGTATTAAGCATGTGCAGCACAGTTCTCAAGAAATGCTGTCATCAGTTCTAGCATGAGGAAAGACAGGTACAAAAGAGCATGAGAATTTCTGCATTGCTTACTGCTATTTAACTGTCACACAAGCCAGTAGACATTCTATCAAGGCTGCTGACTAATGAATCTATCTTAGGCCACGGGTCCTTGTTAGCACAATGTTACTAGATATCCACAGATCACACAACTGATACTGTCCTTGATGCCTGCACCTCTTGCTGCCTCCCTTCTAGCAGAAATGGTGCAATGAGCACAGCTGAATGAGTATAGTTGTATGAACAGAAAAGTTGACTGCTGGAAGGGAGGATGAAGAGCTGGGGGTTGGAGTCAGAGAACCACTCAAAACCACAGCAAATGTTTGTCAAAAATGAGTATATACACTTAGCAAGGTACAGGTCTTGAAAGGCTGCATCTTTTTGATAAGATACACAGCATAATCTTTCATTGCAGGAGATGGGATACAATAAATGTGCCAACTGGCCCTTCTTATCAAAGCAGTCTGAATTCTTCGGGGAGGAATTATCTTTATATGTAACAGGGAGTCAAGAATATCAACAATACTTGAGCAAGTAAAAAATACTCCAAAATTTACTGCTGCAGGAAGACAAGAGCTCTTTCAGTTGTTTTAATCTCGGCTGTTTTATACTTTGTCTTTTTATTTTACAGAAATCAGTTATAGACACTGAGAGAGTTCTAAGAGAAAATGTCTAGCATATCAAGTTAGATCAAATAAACTTCCAACACCTACAAGTCAGTGGCCTATATTATCCAGTAGCAGACCAGATCTTCAGGCTTCCCACTCCCTCCCTAATTTTGCCCCTAGCTCTTACATACATCAAACCTACAAAAGTGTATTGTCCTTACTCCAACAGTGTGCCAGTCTGGACATGTTCAAATGAAAACCTGAGCTACACTATGATCTTGTCTCTTGTTGCCATGATGTGTGCAGTGAAGAGTAAGATTGCCTTAGATAATCCGGAATACAGCAATTCACAGCAACCCCGTCCCGTCTTTGATTTGGATGGGGTGTGCTTTCCATCATAGCCAAAGGGGAGCTCCTACCTCTGACACACAGGTATGCACTCTCCTTCACCCCAGCCCTCTGTATGTTGCATCAGCAAGAACAGCAACAGCCTCCAGCCTTGGAGCTACCAGAATGAAAGACGCATGCACACTACAGGCAACTGGCCTGGCACTGAACGTTGTTGCTCCCAAACACCTGTGTCACACAAACGCTTTTCAGTTCAGCTGCACAGTTGTTGTAACAACATGTTTTTATTCCAGAGGAAGGGAGACTAGCATTTGGGGCAGTAACCAATGGCTATGGTCTCCCTTGTTCCGATAGGCGTTTGCTGTGTGACCCTGGCTCAAACGCTTAAGATTACCCATCTAGAAAATGGATGAACTAATGTGGTAACTTGAGGAGTAGCTTCACCCTTTCCTAAGCGCAGTTCTCAAATACGGTTAGCAAAGTCCCAGTCAGCTTTACATAAAAAGCACTTGCTTAAGGGCAAAACGCTGTTTTGGCTTCAAACCGACTCGGGGCTGTCCCCCCTGGAGAAGCCCTCTACGCCTCGCCATTTTGGCAGCCCAGAAGCAGAAGCAGGCTGCTAAATCAGTGGTTTGCCTGAGGAGCGAGCGGAGGCTTGCAGCAGCATGGCTGCTTTCTCTGCACATTCCTCTGGTGACGCTGCTTATTACCCAGCATGCAGATAACCCTGAGTCAAGGCTTTGGTATGAGCGGCGCTGCCAGGAGCTGCGTGCTTGGAATAGAGGGTTACAGTTTAAATCGAGGTGAAGCGCCGTCCCCAGCCAGCTGCACCCTGCCTGCCTCTCCTACTCGGCTGGAGTCAGCCACCCCTTCACCTATTTGCAGAAAAGGAGCTTTCCAGTCCCTCCCCTCCACCCCATCGCTCACCCAGGGATCATTCCCATTGAGAAGCTCTCAGTCTAACAGTAATCCCGACGAATTTAGCTGCTGCTAATAAATCCCACCCTCTGCCCCTCCCAACCTGCCTCCATGCAAATCCATTTGTAGGTTACTTGAACAATAGCGGAGCTGTAATCAGCCCTCCCCTCTGGCAGCCTGCAGGGAGGGAGGGGAGGAGGATGATGACAGTGGGGAATTCTGCTCGGCTCCTTGAAGCTGCACAGACATGTTTCATGTCCCCATTCCCAACCCCTGCGCAGAG